AGGCGCACCTTAGTCTCCAGCCTGACATCATTGCTCTTCAATACTCTTGAGAGATCCCTCACAGCTGACTTTCCCAATGCATTTCGTCTCTTGATTTCCTGGCTCCTGTTACCAAGAGTGTTGACTGTGGAACCAAGCAAACAAAAACTGTTAACTATCTCAATCTCTTCACCATCCATACTGATGCTGCCAATTGGCCCAGTGGTAAGAATCTTTGTTTTCTTGATGCTGAGCTTCAATCCACATAGCAAACCAGTAGAAAATAAAAATTTTATTTTAAAAAAAGGCAATGGTGATGAAGGAAGAAGTTCAGGCTGCTCTGAAGTTATCTGCAAAGAACAAGAACCCTGGGATTGGTGAAATACCAACTGACATCTTTCAGCAAACAGAAGCTGCCCTGGATGTGCTCATAACATCATGCCAAGAAATCTGGAAGACCGCTACCTGGCCAACTGACTGGAAGAGATCAATATCAATTCCCATTCCAAAAAAGGTGATCCGACAAGAGTGTGGAAATTACTGAATAACATCACTAATATCAGACACAAGCAAGATCCTACTGAAATGATCCAAAAGGACAGGAACAGTAAATCAATAGAAACTATCAGAAATACTAGCTGGGTTTGGAAGAGGCCATGACACTAGGGATATCATAGTCAATGTTAGATGGATCTTGGCTGAAAGCAGGGAGTACCAGAAGAATGTCTACCCTTGTTTCATTGACTATATACAAAGGCATTTGTCTGTGTAAATCACAACAAATTGTGGCTAACCTTGAGAATGGAATCCCAGAACACCTAATTGTGCTCATGTGAAACCTATAGTTGGATCATGAGACAGTAATTAGAATAGAGCAAGGAAGCACTGAATGGTTCAAAATCAGGAAAGGAATGTGTCAGGGATGTGTCCTGTCTCCATACCTTTTTAATCTATATGTGGAACAGATAATTTGAGAGGCTGGACTTTATGAGGAAGAATGTGGCATTAGGATTGGAGAAGACTCATCAACACCCTGCTTTTTGCAGATGACACAACATCGCCAAAATGGGGGAGGACCTGAAGCACTTGCTGCAGAAGGTCAAGGACTGTAGTGCTCAATGTAGATTGAAGCTCAACATCAAGAAGACAAAGATTCTCACCACAGGGCCACTGGCAGCACCATGATGGATGGAGAAGCGACTGATGTTGTTAACAGCTACAGCTTGCTCAGCTTCACAATCAACACCATAGGCATCAGTGGTTGGGAAATGAAAAGATGAATTGCATTGGGAAAATGTTGTGTCAGAGATTTCTCCAGACTGATAAAGAGTAACAATGTCATTCTAGAGACTGAGGTGTGGCTGATCTAGACTATTGTTGTAGTTAGGTGCTGTCATGTCAAGTATGACAATAGCTCTGAACCCCGCTCTATCCTGAGCCAACCTCATTGTCTCTGACACACCTACCCCCATAACCCCAGTCAATGAGTCAATCCATCTCATCCAGGGTCTCCCCCTCTTGTGCTGTTCCTTCACCCTTCCAAGGATGATGTTCCTTTCCAAGGACTGGTTCCTCCTTGCAACATGCCCAAAGTCTGTCAGATGAAGCTTCAGAATTCTTGCCTCCAAGGAGCAGCCTGGTTTCACCCTCTTTAGGATGAATTTATTTGTTCTATGGTCTTTGCAATTACTTGCTATGCATCAGAGAGCTGGACAATGACTAAGGATGACAGAAGAAGAACTGATGGCTTTGAGTTGTGGTGCTGCAGAAGAGTATTGAACATATCATGGTGGGGAGGCGGTGGGCAGGGAGAAAATTGCAACAATGAATGACTGGAAATCCTAAGTCTCTGTAAACTTTCATTAAAATTAATAAATTTAAACAAACAAGCAAAAACATACCATGGACCACCAAGAAAGCAAACAGGTCTGTCTTGGAGAGGGTGAAATCAAGTATCTCCTTGGAGGCTAGGATTTTGAGGTTCTGTCTCACATAATTTGGGCACATGGCCAGGAGAGACCAGTCCTTGGAGATGGACATAATGGTCGCTATGAGTCACAAGTGATTCGATGGCACATAGCAACAATAACAATTTCCACATGTAGCATATGGATTGGAGGAAGATGCATCAATAGCCTGTGTTATGTAGATTACACAACCTTGCTTGCTGAAAATGGGGAGGACTTGAAGCACTTGCTGTAGAAAGTTACACTGCAGTCTTCAATATGAATTACACCCCAACATCAAGAAGACAAAAATTGGGATTTGGAGGGAAGAGACAAAACAAACAAACAAACAAAACCAACAACCCAACTAAGTCTGCCGAGATTAGTGGATGTATGGGTAGGGTCAAGGAAAAGGCAAGGTACAGTGAGGATGTGATGAGACCTTATGATTGATGGCATTAATCAGTTGTCATTATTATAAAACAAAATGTGTGAATGACTGAATGAAATGGAATTTTCAATAAAAAAGAACTTAACCACTGGCCCAACAAACAACATAGCTGTTGGAGAAAAGATTGAAGTTGTCAAGCATTTTTTTACTTAGATGCACAATCAACACTCATGGTAGTATCAGTCAAGAAAATAAACAAAAACACCCCCAGACATGTTGTATTGGAGATATCTTCTGTCAAAGACCCTTCCAAAGTGATAAAGAGCAAGGATGTTGGCTTAAAGATTAAGGTGCCCCTCATCCAAGTCATGCTGTTTTCAGGTACTTCCTAGCCATCTGAAAGTTGGATAATAAATAAACATGCAGAAAAGGAACCAATGCCTTTGAATTGTGGTACTGGGGAAGAGTAATAGCCAATGAACTGCCAAAAGAAAAAAAAAATACATATGGCTTAGAGGAACTACTCTTCTTTGGTGGCAAGGATGGTGAAACTTGGTCTCACATACTTTAGGTATGTTGTCAGGAGGGATCAGTTCTAGGAAAAAGAGATCAATCTGGGAAAGGTGGAGGGTCAGCAAAAGAGAGGAAGCCTCTCAACAAGATGGATTGACACAATGACTGTAGCAATGAGCGTGAACACATTGGAGATTGTGAGGGTAGAGCAGCACAGGGCAAGGTTCTGATCTGCTGTTCATAGGGTTGGAGTCATAGGCCACTCTTCAGCACTTCACACCACCATATCCTTGGAGAATGCTACCACAAGTGCTCACTGAAGATTACCCTGAAAGTTTGGTTAAGTGCCATTCTTCTTATGTTTTTTGATTTAAGCTCTAGGATAGGTTTTGTGTTTTTCCAATTGGACTAGCATACCTTTACTTTGCCATTCTGAAGATAGAGAGTCCAGTGATACCCATCTTGACTGCTGGAGATGAGGAATTCTTTTACATACATGCTGGTAAGAAGAGATTTTGCCCCCTGGGTCATGATTCCAGTAACTTTCATTGTCTTTGATAAGTCCACTTGCAGCCACTCTTTTGGGTCATTCACCTGAGGGGGGGTAGATGTTGGACTAGTATACTGCTTATCTCAATTCGTTGACCTCAAGCCCCTTCTTTTTACCCATATTCTAACATTTATTCTGTATTTTAATGGCTTGTTTGTCAATGTCCTCTATTATACTCTAAGCACCTTGAGAGAAGGAGTTTCACATAATTTCTCTTTATATTCCCAGGCTAAACCACTTTATAGGTACCCAGCAAATATTTACTGAATGACTACTTGAACCATATAGTTAGTCATAATGCATCCAGAAAAATATATTAATAGTTACCAGGGGAAAATGTTGGCCTAGTGGGTAAGGAGTTGCACTGCCAATACAAAGGCAGGTGGTTCGGATCCACCTGTAGTTATAAGAATAAAGATAGGCAGTCCCCCCTGGGCAACTTACAGCCTCTGAAAACCCACTGGAGAGTCAACTAAGAGTTGGTTCTGACTTACTGGCACATAACAACAATAGAACATTAAAAGGGTGGCCATGTGGTAAACTATTTGTTTCGTTGAAAATAAGTCTCTGAGGGGCACAGCCAATTAATTAGCTCCATTAAAATTAGCTCTCAAAAAGTTGAGTGGTTCTGGAAGAGAACTAGGCCGAAATGCACTGTACATAGCTGTGACAACTTACTCTGTATAAACGAGAAATAAAGAAAGCTAGCTCGTTGTTGATGTTTTTCCATCCACCTGCACTAATGATACCGCACTTCTGTGCCATGTGTTAGCCCAGTACTGAATATAGAGCTTCCTTACAGGAGGTTCAATTAGGGATCATTTCCCCAGTGAATCTTACGTGAAATCACATTAACATAGCTAATAATGCCTGTAGGATTTCTGTCCTCAGTTAACCTTTGCCACTATTTCTGGAAACAACCAGAAATCTTTCTGAAGGAATAGTCATGGGTTTTCCCTATTTTCCCCCAACCACTACTTCCTACTCTGAGTCAGTAAAATGGCCAGTCTATTGTCTCTTACCTGTGGTCTCCACGCATTGGTCCTGCCCTGGAGGTGAAGTCGGGCCTGTGAAGGAGCCCAGGTGGCAAACATATTGGTGAAGTAGGATGAAGCTGTGATCTGCGCATCTGTTACTGCTTTACTCTCCATTCCCAGCGGCATGCCACAACCTGAGAAATGCAGGGAGGATGCCATCACAAAGCCATGCTGCAGCCTGGACTCACTCAAAGGCAACTCACCATGAATTCACTTAGGAAGTATTCACTTTGGCATGTGTTACTTATTGTCGCCATGTCCCTGGTTTTCTGCTCAGTCCTGCTCAGTTCTTGTGCACTTTGTCTTGTTAATAGCAGTGTAGGAGGTGGCTGCTCCGAGGGCTCAACTCCATAATTAGAATGACCAAGTTGTGAGTCTATTTAGAATTTTTCTAGTCTTAGTATTTCCCCATCCCGAGGAACTTCTCAGCTCTGGGCAAAGAGTGGGGTTGGTTACAGCACCCCCCCACGCCCGGGTAGGGAGATGGAAGGACGTGGGATGCCTTGGTACTTACTGTTTAAGTCACAGCCCATCAACTCCATGCGCAGAGTGCTGCGTATGCTATGATGTGTTGGATGCAAACGGATATACTGAGCAACAATTGGAGGATTAAATATATTGTGTTTTATCCCAGATGAATCTACATTACCAAAGAAGACCTATAAAGAGAGATTGAGACAAATACACCAAATGTAAAAAAAGTAAAGGTTTGGCGGCATCAAAAAATCTTTGTAATAGAAGAGCAAATTGGGGGAAGGGGTGGGCAGGGGAAAAAAAAGCAATAATGAATGAATGGAAATCAAAAGTCTCTGTGAATGTTCATTAAAATTAATTAAAAAATTCTTGGTAATACAATTCTTTGTATATGTATTGATGAAATACATATTAATATCAGAGTAATAATACAGGTGCTTTAAAAAAATATTGTCCTGGTATGTCACAATTCTTTTCTTCCTATGGAATAAACCCCAAACTTCGCTGCCACTGAGTTAATTACAACTCATAATGTCTCTACAGGACAGAGAGGAACTGCCCATGGGGTTTCTGATGTGTTAATCCTTAGAGGAGCAGATAGTCTGCTCTTCCTCCCTCAGAATGGCAGGTGGCTTTAAACTGCTAACCCTTTAGTTAGCAGCCCAGTGCCTAAACCACTGTTCCACTGGTGCTCCGTTCCTATGGAGTAGAAAATAATGATACATTTATAGCATTGCTCTTAAACAAGTTAAACCAAATATTACAGCATTCTTCAGTAAACGTCTCTTTATTTGTGGCCAAAGTAGAATTAGTAACATATATAAATCAGTTGTTGTTAAGTGCCATTGAACTGACTATAACTCACGGTGACCCTATTACCAATAGATCTGAACCCTGTCCTATCCTGTGCCGTCCTCACAACCTCTGACACATTCAAGCCCATTGCTGCAGTCACTGGAGCAGTCCACCTGGTTGGGGTTCTTCCCCTCCTTCACCATCCCTCCACTTTTCCAAGTATGATATCCCTCTCCAGGGAATAGCCTAACCTAGCTACATGCTCAAAATATGTGAGATGAAGTGGTTGCACTTTCTCCAAAACATATTTGTTCTTTTTGACAGTTCATGGAATTTTCAGTACTCTTCTCCAACACCACAACTCAAAGGCATCAGTTTTTCTTCTGTCAACCTTATTCATTGTCCAACTCTCAGATGCACAGCAAATATCTGAAAAGAACATGACCGGAATCAGAAAGATCTTAGTCTTCAAACTGGCATCATTGCTCTTCAGTATTTTGGAGAGGTCCCTGACAGCAGACTTTCCCAAAGTAATACATCTCCTGATCTCCTATAGGTAAAGAGGGTGTTGATTGTGGATCCAAGTAAGATGAAATTATTGATGATTTCAATCTTTTCTCTATCATGATAGTGTTAAGGATTTTCATCTTCTTGATGTTAAGATGTAATCCACATTTAAGGCTGTAGTCTTTGATCTTCTGCAGGAAGCATTTAAAGTCCTCTTAACATTCAGCAAGCAAGGCTGTGTCATTTGCATAGCACAGGTTATTAATGAGTCTTCCTTGGACCCTGATGCCACATTCTTCTTCATATAGTCCAGCCTCTTGAATTATTTGTTCCATAATCACTAGCATTTGTTTAAAGATTGGCCAAATTCTGTTTGTTCTGTATATGGAGAAATCTTGCCTTTTATTTATGGCTTTTAAATGTAACCATGACATACTACAAAGTATCACAGGGGAAACACAAGATTATCCAAACAATAATTAAATTTAGTTAAAGAGAACTTCATTTTTCTTAATCCAAAACAATAATTAGGCGGTTCTGGTGGCCTAGTGGTAAGAAGCTGCCCTGCAATCTCAAAGGTACACGCGTCAGAATCCAACAGGTGTTCCACGGGAGAAGGATGGGCTATCTCCTCCCATGTGAATTACTGTCTCTGAAAACCTGCTGGAGGGTCAGCTATGGGTTGGTTTCCAAGTTGACGGTACACAACAATGGATCAAGGAGTCCTGGATTTGCAGTGGTTAAAGTCCTCAGGCACTAACTGAAAAGTGTGGTTGGAACCCATCTGCTCCTTATGAAAGCTATACAGATCAAGCCCCTAGGATGGGTGGTCAGTAACTGGAGATCCTGGCTAAGGCATCCAGTCTTTTATGTGCTGAAGTCAGGCTCAAAAGCCTGCGCGCGCGCGCGCGCCGCTTGTGTGTGGGCTTCCATGGCAGAGATCGTGAGGACAGGGCAAGGTTTCCATCTCTCCATCCATGTGATGTTGAGAGGGTCGCTAGTCCACTCGGATGCACCCAATAGCAAGAGCAGCAAAGCCAACCACTACCACC